GGCTGGAATTTGGGGTTTAGAGACTTCCAACAATATTTCAGAAGAGATATGACTGTATTTGAATAAATGTAGATTTCTGTACATGAATAAATTTAGGTTGCTGTACATGGGGAAAAAGACATCCCCTAAAAATAAGCCTTACTGCGTCTTTTGGAGCAAAAATTAATATAAAGTCTGGCCTTATTTTGGGGAAAACACAGTATACGAGGCCCCTGATAAAAGAATTTTGTGTTGTATTTGTTTTGAATATATAGTTATGTGACCTATAACTATGTATGTATCTGAAGTTTTTTTATAAACCAAATGGTTCCATAAAAGTTACTATAAAAAAGAACAATTCAATGCCTCACTTCTGAGTTCTTTCTACACAGAACATTTAACGTTCAGCTACTTCATCTTGAAGGCAGTACATGTATAGAAATAGCTGTTATGCATAGATCAAATATATATATACATGCCATTTCTTGTGGGTTCTTTTCAGTCACACATGTATCTGATGACCATCTACTATGGAAGACTAAAACTAGCTCTCTATCATTATAATTTCCTCTTGTCGTAAGTAATATTTAATTTTTTAGTTAAACCATTAACACATTCCCACATCCTCTGGTAGAAGAGTCAACATATTTTTTTAATAAACACGTTCAAACAAACTGGGAGATCTACTATTTTTATGTGTGTATGTGACACAGGTTCCGTAGCCCTCCGCCTTCCTGCTCCCTGCTGGGTATTTTCTCTCAACTCCACTCTTCACTCTCCTCTGCCTGGCCCAGGCTCTAGAAGGCTGACTCCACAGGCCTCATCACTTGTGTTCTCTTGTCCTCTTGGCTTCCAGAGAGTCCCGCCAGTGGAAAGTACCCACTGGAAGGAAGGAAAGAGTGGTTGGGTTTTTTATTCTCCCAGCACCCGCCTATGGACTGGAAAGGGTTATATTTCTCTAAGACCACAGTTCCCATCTACTTCTACAACCACAGGTCTAGGAAAATTCCAGTAAGCACATATTCCTACTTCACTGCTCCGGGCCCAGGATGCTTATCATCTTTGTTAATTCCCTTATGCTGCCTCACAATTTGGTGTACAGCTTTTTCATTAAATTCTCTACCATTTCTATTTCATTCTTGTGAGAGTCCTCTAACAGCTTCCTGAGGAAAGGTACATGGGGGTAAGTTCTTTGATAGTTTGATTTATTTGATACTAGAGAAAATTTTTTAATCTTTTTTCTTTTAGTACAAAGCTTTATGCATGCTAGGTAAGTGTTCCACCACTAAACTACATCTCCAGCCCCATTTCAGTTTCTAATGCATTCTTTTTGTTCTTCTCCCCAAGAAATTTATAGTAAGAATGAATCTTTTCTTGCAACTACTGTAGAAGAAAAAGAAGTACAAATGTGAAAATAGCTACTTTGGTATAAAATTGTCATGTATACATATGAGTGACCCATAATGCCCAGTGTTGACAATACTGAGACACAGACGTTACATATTGTTGAGTCTATAAAAGACCAATATAGCCAGATACCGTGGGGCACACCTGGAATTCCAGAGCTACAGGAGGCTGAAGTGGGAGCATGGTACGTCTGGGCCCAGCCTGGGAATTTAATGATACACTGTCCTACTGTTAAAAAAAAAAGGCTAGGAATACAACTCAGTCTGAAGGTCCTGGGTTCAATTCCTAGTATTATAAAAAAGAACAACGCACACACCAAAAAATGTATAATAATATACACAGTATTGTCTCAAATAAATGTACCTGAAAAATGAGAATAACAAACACACAGACTCACAGTTCCTACTTTCCAACTTTTGTAATTTGTACATCTTGAAAGATATTCACACAAAAAGCACGTGTTACTTCTTACAATGCTGGGAGAAAAACATACAAAAATATTACTTTTTAAAAACAAACACAGAAAAGCTGGGCGTGGTGGCATGCCTATAATCCCAGGACACAGGAAGTTAGAGCGGGAGTGAAAGCCTGTCTACAAATGAAACCCTCCGTATAACGAAACCCTGTCTCCAAAGACGACAACAACAAAAAGGTATATGCCAGAACTGGGATGTGACTCTGTGGCCAAGCACTTGCCTAGGATGTGTGAGACCATGGCTTTGATCCCTAGCACTGCAAAAAATAAAAGGTCAGGTTCATACATCTGACTGCATTGTTTTATCATGTTAATGATTCACAATCATACTCAAAGAATCCTAACTGGCAAACTTATACGGCTACTGTTTTGCTTTCAATGTATTCCAAAAAGATTTTTTCCATCTCTTCAAATCAATTATTTACCCTAACACACGTGTCTAAAAGTTTTATGCCTCTAAAAAAGTACTGTAAGACATTCCAACTTCTAAGTGATTTACAACTTACCGAAAGAAAAAAATATGCTCCAAAGGTCAGCAAATTAGTAGATGATTACCTCTCCTAGATGGTTTATTGGTATGCAAATAAAAAACAACACTGGAGCCTGGCATGGGGGCCAAGGCCTGTACTCCCAGTGCAGGGAAGCTGAGGCAGGAGAATCTTGAGTTTGAGGCCACCTTGGGTTACACAGAGTGTTCAAGGCTAGTCGGGACTACATAATGAGACCCTGTCTTGCAGAGGAGTGGCGGGGGAGAAAGAGAGGAGAGGGGAGGGAAGGGAAGAGTCCATTGAAGGTGGGGAGATAGTGCTCTGACACTGAATAAATACCAAATAACTATTTTAGAATTATCAGAACAGGAATAGTGAACAAAACTAAGACTAATAAAGAATTCTATCTAAAGTTATCTATAAATTAGAAGAAGGGACAAGACATTATTTTCAGGACCAGAAAATGGATTGTGTCACCTGAACACAAAAAGAGAACAATTTGACAAGGAGGACTGATGAGAATACAAAATTAAGGTTTAGAACCCAATGAACTTTTAGTACTGTAGCACTGCCAGCTAACTGCAGAATAATGTGATTTTTACCAGACTGCCTTGGAGGACGACATCATATTGGGATATTCTAACTAACAAAATACAAGAGCAAAAGATCAACACAGGTTACAGCATTGGAAGTCCTGTAGTTAAAAAGGGTTACCTAAACTACAATTTCATTCAACAATGTAAGTGCTCACTTGGTACAAAACACTCAGAAAGTCACTGTCAAAAAAAATGTTATTAAAAGTAGTCTTTTTCCTTAAGAAACTTAAAATATAGCATGGAAGTCAAATAAGTGACCAAACCAACTCAATACAATTACAATGCTACTTGGTAAATGCAGTAGCAGAACTACAGAAAATGCCTAAATAGCAATCCGTGAGAGGTAGAGGATCTTAAAAGAACTTGTATAAAAGGAAAAGATTATAAGGTCCAAGACAGATATGAAAAATATATGTATTACAAAAGGAAAAAATAAAGAAAAAATATAAACACATTAACATTGGTAAAATTAAGCAAATGCTTTATCCAACCATAAGATTTTAATCACTATAATTAAACTTAGTTACAGAAACTGTCATTTTTTTTTTTTTTTTTTTGGTCTTTCTGAGACAGGGTCTCACTATGCAGTTCAGGCTGGCCTTGAGCTCACTTTGTAGCCCAGGCTGGTCTCGAACTCACAACGATCCTCCTGCCTCAGCCTCCCGAGTGCTGGGATTACAGGCATGCACCACCACTCACAGCTGTGTCATTTAAACTTCATTTTAAAATGTATAGCGTGGGGCCAGGGATATGGCTCAGCGGCACAGCACCTGCCTGGCAAGCATAAAGTCCTGGGTTTGATTCCCAGTACCAAAAATCCCCCACAAACCATGAAAAGAAATATATAGTATGGGCTAGAGGTATAGCTCAGTGGTAGAGCACCTGCCTAGCATGTGCAAGGCCCTCAGCTCAAGCTCCAGCACTGTAAAAAAGAAAAAAAACTGCATAGTGAAAATGACCTAGTAAAAAACAACTTGGAACGTTTGAGTCTCAAAGGAAAAAAACCAGTAAAGCTCAAGAGAAGCTGGAAGTGGTGGTGTATGTCTGTAATCCTAGCACTCTGGTGGGAGTTCAAGCCCAGTCTGGACAATTTAGGTACTTAACAAGACTATCCAAAAAAGGGGGTGGAGGTAGGGATATAATTCAGTGCAAAGGCCCTAGGTTCAATCCCCAGTACCCAAAAAATCATCTCACTGCATAAATAAGCTGTTTAAAGTAGCACAACAACTATTTACTTCTCCCACTTTTACTGGTACTTCAGAGATGAAAAGCTGACCTCCATGAACACTTACAATTATTTATCACTGACTCAGATTCTAACCATCAATTTCACATGCACCTATAAAATTAGTAAGTCAAATTATAATCATATAATCTATCTAAAATATATTTAAATACAATAATTCATCACTTCATTTAATGTCACAAATCAAATTTGCACTCTCCCAATTACCAAATATTTACAGAGCACTTAAGATACAGCAGGTATCATGTACTCCTGATGGTCCACTCCTGAGACCCCAACTGATTCTCAAACTAAAGCCCACTAAATTAGGTACTAATATTATCCCCACTCTGCAAATAAGCAATCAAACTATTATGGCTGTGTCTAGATGTCTCCTCAAAGCCTCATGCAGTCAAAGGTGGGACTTTTTCAGAGGTTGCTGGATCTAGAGTGTGTGACACTGGGATTGATTCACAGTGCAAGGTAGAATCAAGGGTGCTAGGACTAGGGGTGTGAGTGCTACCCTCACCCAAGTAGCCCGGATAAGATATAAGGGATTGAAAGAGCTGTGGCTGTCCCTTGTTGCTCTGCTACCTTCTGCCCTCCATGAACTGTTTCTCCTCTGCGATGCCTCTCTGCCATGGAGCCAGCCGATTATGGACTGAAACTTCTACAAACTGTGACCTAAATAAACCTTTCCTCCTTTAACTGTGGGTATCCGTATTTCGTCTCAGCAGGGAGAAAAGTAACTAAGACACAGCTTTGATAAATTAATTTGCCCAGAATCAAGCCCAAGTCTAGAAGGCTTTTCAGCAGTTGTAAGTACTTACTCTTGTCTGTCAGTACTGTAAGTGGGTGCAAGCACTGCAAACACACTGTGCTGCCTCTCAGTAGGGGCCTGTGGAAAAGCAAGAGAAAGCAATGAGCAAATTCTTCTGTAAGTTTATGTTTTTGAAGAGAAGGTTAATCAAAGCTGGGCATGGTGGGACACTTGGGAGGCTGAGGCAGAAAAATCGCGCCAAGTTTGAGGCCAGCTTGGGTTACATAGCAAGACCTATATAATAAGACCTTGTCTCAAAAAAAAAAACAAAAACCTTAACGAAGTTGTATCTCCTCCCAATTCAACACATGTATGGTCAAACTAGAACATATAGAATTGTTTTGAATCTCAAATTCACAGGATACTGGAAGTATGACAGAACAGCTTCTAATATTAACTTCATAATCAAAACTAAAGTTTTAACAACCAAATGATAAAAAATGCAATCTGGAACCAAATGTCCAACATGTCTCAGCCTGAGCTGCTTTTCAACCTCAGTACTTCCGACACCAAATGTGTCAGAGTCTTCCTCACAGCAACTCATCTCCAATTCTGCAGAAGGCAGCTGGTATCGGCTCAGTGCTGACACCACCTCTCTCTCTCTCTCTCGCCTCAGATCCCACAAGCTGCCCCACTTCAGACGCTAACTCCACACCCTCAGCTTCCCATACTTCTCTCCATGCAACTCTCCCTTCTTCGTGTTTCAGTCATTTTCTAGAGGGCTGAGGAACTCAGGGAGGCATCTTACTCACAATTAATGGTTTATTTTCCCAGGATCTTAATCAATACAACCAACCCAGAATATCTCTAAATACTATCTGTAGGGTCTGTTATGGAACCTTCCTGTCACAGGCATGACTGATTAAATCACTGGCCTCTGGTGACTATCTCTACTTTTTCTCCAGACCTGAAGGATGAGTCTGTTCCAATCTCTAATCATGCCTTGATCTTTCTGATGTCTGGTCTCCAATCCAAAACTATCTAGGGTCCAGGCAGAAGTGCGTCAATGCAACAAAAGACACTCTTATCACTTCTACCACTAAGGAAATTCCACAGATTTAGAAGCTCTATGTCAGGAGCCAGATCAAAGACCAAACATTTCTTATTCCATGACATTAAGCCCCCACATACTCAGGGGTACATTAAAAACTGAGAAACTATAAGATAAAATATAGCTCCTTCTACCCTTAAAGAGCTTATTTACAGTTTATCCACTCAAAATTCTTCCCTTTGAGTATACTTTAAACACTAAGTAAAGCAGAAGACATCTTCCCTCAAAATGATTCTAATCTTACCAAAAAGACAGTGTTAAAAAAATAAATCTTAGGGCAAGCTATAATACAAACAAGGTAGAAAAACCAGGGCTTTGGGATCAAACAAAATTCTAATCTTTGTCATCACTTATAAGACAACTTTGGATAAAATACTCACTCTGAATTTCAATTTCCTCATTTGTAAAATGAAAATAAAATGCTGATAAAAAAAACCTGAGATTCAGTTGGTAACATTTAAGAAATATATACAAAGAATATAACATTGCATAATACATTAAGGGATGGAACAAGGGAAAAATTTTAAGTAAGTCAGGAGAAAACAAAAGGTATTATAATTAAGTCAAATGAACTACTAATCTTGCTCTAAAATTTAATATAAAAGGATAAGCATAAAAGGCGCAATTTCTTTTAAGATGCCTACAAAAACAACTACCAAATTTTCTCTCATAAAATAAGTATCTATTGATTATCCTTAAGTGAATCATTTGAAAAACATTTCCAGGTTATTTATATAGTCTATGAATCACACAGACCAGGATCATGACCTAATTTCCATGAACTTTTCTAAAACTATATACACAACACTGTGTGTATTTCAGGGCCCTAAGGACCACCAAATTCCTACCAATCTATTGAATAGGAGAATCTTCTGTTTAATATGAAACAGTTAAATTTACATGCCTGAGATAAAGTACAGCTTATATAGTTTCCAATGGGATGTAACTTGATTTCTAATATTAAGACAGAAAAACCACTGTTTAATGTTTACCTTATTTGCTTCTACATTTTTTGCTCAGGAAATATTCTGTGTCTGGTACTTCAGAACGTAATTAAATAAGCATAAAACAAGTGTCACAGCCTTCAATAATTTACACTTTAGTTTTGAAGGGTGCACACTTCAGCAGCACATATACAAAAATAATTATGAACAAAGAATTTATATAAAATAGTTAATGCACACTTCTCTAGGGCAACAAATTTAGAACTAAATGCAATAGAATATAACAGAATCATCTGCCACTAGCAGCTGTATGGAAGGTCCCTAGAAGAAGCAAGAGTGGACAAGGTGAATTTTAAATGAAATGACGAATACAGAGTCTTGAAGAGGGGTTATTCCAGACTAGATCAGTGTTTTGTTTGGTTTTTGAGACAAGGTATGTAGCCCAGGCTGGTCATGAACTGGCTGCAAATCTTCTGCCTCAGCCTCAGAGTGCTGGGATTATAGACATGCAGCACCATGCCCAGCTAGATCAGTGATACTGAAGCTGCTGGATATGACCCATCTGTGGACCATTTAAATGGGTTTAGTGGATCATAACCTAATTTTTAAAAAATAGAATATTAGCACGTACCATGTATAACTAAAGATGCTGTTTTGAGAACCTTTAAAACAGCAATATTATATGCACAGATATGTACACAAATAGTACTTGTGTGTATGTACGTATTGGTTTCCAACATAAAATGCGTTTCTTACTGGTCAAAAGAGTTAGAATGTCAAAGTTTGGGGAAAAAGGATGGCACCAACAAAGCCTAAGAAGAAGAAACAACCAACTGCAGTCACCTTCCCATATGTGTTGGTCCCACACCTGTGGATTCAACCAACTGTAGATGAAAAATATTTGAAAAAAATTCTGTCTATATTGAACATGTACAGACCTTTTTCTAGTTACTATTCCCTAAACAGTACAACAACCATTTACATAGAATTTACCTTGTATTAGATATTAAAAATAACCTAGAGATGATTTAAAGCACGTGGGAAGACAAGTGATCCAGTAAAAGAGCAACCAGAGACAATTAGCTGGTAGCATGCAGTTTTTCGTAGGCCCAGGTATTAGGCTGAAGTTTCCAAAGCCACCACTGGGCTTTTGAACTGTTTTGAAATTAAAATACATTATAAAAAGATGAAAAATTTATTACTTTATATTTTAGATACTTAAGTAATCATTATGCAACACAATGTACTAAACTGTCAAAACCTATACTTTATATATGTTAGTTCATCATCTTGCTCCTACAACCCTACAAGATTTTATTTTTTATTAAATACGTTAACTTTAAATATTACGGTTTTGCATAATTCCTGCAAAATCTAAAGAAAGTAATTTTATAGAGATAGGTTTATTTTTAAATTTGTATGGACTGAAAGTACCACAGCAATTCTGAAAAAGAATAAAGTTGAGAACTCACATCACCTATTTTAAGACTTTCATAGCCCCAGCAATCAAGACTACAGCACTGGCAAAAAAAGAAAACACAGGCACAAAGATCAATGGAATGCAAGGTTCACAAATAAAACACACACACATATAGTCAATGTTTTTCATAGATTCGAGTGGAATTCAGTAGAGAAAAGACAGTCCTCAACAAATGGCTATGGAACAAGTGAACAAATAAAAAAAAAAACCAATCCATAACTCCCACTTTATATAAAACTGACTCAAACTGGATTATAATCCTAAATGAATTATAAGCCCAAATAACAGTACCTGACTTTCCTAAATCTAATATGAAACTTATAAAAAACTCTTTAGTTGGGCAAATAGTTCTTAGATATAATGACAAAAATGAAATCCATAAAAAATATTTTTAACAAAATTGAACATCAAACTTTAAACTTCTATACAACTGTCGATTCTTCTATTGTTTTTTTTGCCTTAATGCAGTGGTATGCAAACCAAACCCAAAGGTCAAATTAAGACTCTGTTTTTTTAAGTACAGTAATGCATGACATACAGATGACAAACCACATATAAAACAGTGATCCCAGAAAATTATAATGGAGTTGAAAAATTCCTACCACTTAATGATGTCATAGATTAATACATTATTCACATGTCTGTGGTGAAGCTGGTATAAACAATCTACTGCATATAAAAGTACAGTACATACAATTATGTAAAGTACTTAATACTTGAAAATGGAAAACAATTATGTTACTGGTTTGTGTTTATTATTCCATTCTTTATCATTAGAGTATATTCCTTTTATTTTAAAAAAAAGCTTACTGTGAAACAATATGCCATGTTAATCTGGCAATAGCCTCATTTTTTTTTTTTTTTTTTTAAGGACAGTCTGATTAAATTGCCCAGGCTGGGGAAAAAAATTGCTCAGGCCAGCCTTGAACTTGTGATCCTCCTACCTCAGCCTCCAGAAGAAATGGGATTAAAGGGACATGCCGCAGTGCCTGACTTTCCTACATCTCTTCACTGCGTCAGAAGGCCATACTAAGTGACTGACTTATGCCATCTAGCTTTGTATAAGTACACTCTACAATGTTTCTACAAGGACAAAATCACTCAATGACCCACCAAACTTTTCAGAATGTATCCCTGTCATTAAATGACACATAACTATACAGTTTTATGGGAACGCAGTTTATCTGTGTGGCTACCTTTCCACTCTGACAACAAAACTGAATACCTGAAAGACAGATGCCTGGGTCCACAAAGCTTAATATATTTACAGAAAGTAGTCCATCCCTGCTTTGAGGGCTCAAAAGGCCAGGAACCTAAGAGGCCTCAATGATTAGTGTCTTTGAGGCATTTATGAACAGAAGGAACTATAAAATTATAAGAGAAAATGCTAAAATCTTTGAATTCTTATCATGCTAAATGATTTGATAAACCCAAATTTATAATGATAAAATTAAACACCTTTGAGGGCCAGGGATATAGCTCAGAGGCATAAACGCCTGCCTGGGACACATAAAAGTCCTGAGTTCGATTTCTGGTACCCCAAAACAAAAAAACAAAAAAAGCCATGAACTGAAATATAAAAAAAAAAAAAAAAAATTAAACA